GCTGGGAAATAAATGTATTGGCCGGCCAGCGGCTGGGTGGGCACCGTGGCTCTTGGCAGGCAGCGTCAATGAGGCAGGAGGGGGCCAGAGAAGACATAGGGCTGGCCGGGACTGGGCTGAGGCGAGGGCCAGAGGCACCTGCCTCAGGTGCAAAATGTAAAGGGGTGCTAAAAAGCTCAGTCATCAAAATCAAGAACATTTTGTGCAATATTTTTTAAAAACAAAATTAGTGACCCCAAAATCCATGGTGAATGAAACATTAAAATTTTCAAATAAGGACAGGATTCCAAAAGAGCCAGGCTGGGGGTAGGACATACAGGGTGAGTCATACATGTGCAGGATCCCATACTGATCCTAAGATGTCCACTCAACGGCAGGGACACTTCCTGGGCCAGTGCCCTGTTCCCACTGGAAGCCAGCACCCAAAACTGGTCTGCTCGTGACAAACTGAAAGTAAGAAACAGGTCCTAGTAGGCATCTCAGAGACCACTCTCTGCCTTGGCTGTGGAGACAGAAGCCCAAGCAGGGACCACACAGCCAGGAGGTAAGGCTTGGCACATAACCCCTGGCAGTGCATACTCCCAGGTGGACAGAAGTTCAAACTCACCCCTTGTATGCTGTGGGACCCTGAGTCAGGTACATTGCCTCTCAAGCCTCAGTTGCCCCCATCTGTGACCCCCAAGCTAAAAAGACTTAGTCCCCAGGATTCAAGAAGATAATACTTGAAATCCTTTAGCACGTGGCCACTCAAAGTGTGGTCCCTGGGCCATCAACATCAGCATCTCCTAGGAATGCATTAGAAATGCAGAATCTCAACTGCATCTCAGACCCACTACATCAGAATCTGCATTTTAATGAGACACCCCAAGGGATTGGCATGCAGGGAAAAGCCTGAGAAGCTGGTCAATTCTTGGCACTTTGAAGAGATGCTCAGTAAATGAGAGTGCTGCCCCTTTGCCCACCAAACTCTGAGTGAGGTCCTGACTTAGGGCAAGAGGAAAAACCCGAAATAGGGAGAAGAGATGTGAGGGGGCCACCCCATTACATTTTAAACGGTCAAGTTTTAAAGCCAGGGAATCTGGCTGAGCTCCTTCTATACAAAATCATATCAGCCCTCTGTTCATCTGGAAAATGGGAATAATAATAGCAAATCCCTTACGTGGTTGTGGTGAAGACAAAATAACATGAGTACAACCTCGGCACAATGCTTGTCACATAGTAAGTGTTCAATAAATGCTTGCTGCTGTTGCTGCTGGTGGGAGGGCCGGGGCGCGTTCAATAAATGGTTACTGAGCACAGCCCATGTGATGAAATAGATCACGCTTGCATAGCTCTTTGCCACTTATAAAGCACTTTCATTTACACCATCTCAACTGACTGTTCTCATAACCCCCTGGGTAAGATAGCATGAAATTCATTTTAAGGAGGGAAAAACCTAGGCTCAGAGAGGGAGAGTGATTTGGCCAAGCAAACCAGGATTTTTTTAAAGTAATTTATTTATTTGAGAGAGAGAGAGAAAATGTGAGTGGTGGGGGGAGGAGCAGAAGGAGAAAGAGGGAGAGGGAGAGAAGCAGACTATCCGTTGAGCGCAGAGCCCCATGCAGGGCTTCATCTCATGACCCTGAAATCATGACCTGAGCAAAAACTAAGAGACGGAGGCTTAACTGACTGAGCCACCCAGGCGCCCTGCAAACTAGGATTTAAACCCCTAGAGTCTGACACTAAAATCTGTGCCAGCAACAGAGCATCCAACCAATAACCATAGGAAAAGGTCAAAAACGGAATAAGATAATATTAGATTCTAGAGATGGCGTTGTTCAACCTCCTTATTTTACGACAGGGAAAATTGAGGCCCAGGGAGGGGAAGAGACTTGTTCAAGGTCACTCAGACAGAGCGTCAGCCCTGGGGTCAGAACCCAGCTCACAAGGCTGCAAGTCCAGACTCCTGTCCTGAGTCCAGACCCACATCCTGCATCTGATTGGCCAGCCTCCACCTGATGAACCCAGGGCTGCGGGCTGTGGGTGGCCCAGGCTGGTTCCCTGAGCAGGTCTAGTGGACAGGAGGCATTCTAGCTAGGCATTCAAATGCACTTCCTTTCCAGCCCAATCAGGAAGAGCATGCAGAAGTTGGCGTTGCCAAGGTGAGGGCTGTGAGGTTGCTAGGACACAGTTTGGGAGCAGCCAGGTGGCAGAGGAGGGCTTCACTGGGGCTGGGGCTGGAGCAGAGACTAGGATCTGCCGCAGAGATCTTCTTGGCTGGGGGAGGACCTCCAACTCCACACAGTGGCTCAGCCAATGGGAGAGAGTTGACTCTCATAGACCCTCCATCTCTATGCACCACCCAAGCTAAGAGGCAGAGTCCAATTCTCCCTCCACCCCAGATCTCATCAAGCACAAGTCCTCCTATCTAGCCTCCCATCCCCCCACTCCTGCCCCTGCCCCTGGAAGGAGCCCTCTAGAGCATGAAGCTGTGCCTTGCAGTGGCTCTCCATCGTCCTCCAGCCTCTGTAAAGCTCCTTATAAGGGGCGCTGACAACCTCCCAGCTTCATCTTTCTCCCCAAGGATCTGGCCAAACCACATTCCTCCAAGTGGAACCATGCTCCCTCCACACCTTTGCAGATGCTGCTCCCTCTGCCTGGAAAGCCCTTCCTGCTCCCCCGTCCTCTAAGCCTCAGCTCAAGACTCACCGTCTCAGGGAAGCCCTCCCTGATGCCTCCCAGCAGTGAGGCATCTACGACAAATGCACCTCTGGGGATGTCACACTGGATTTTAACTATCCTCTTTCCTGTTTGGGTCCCCATTAGACTGTGGGCTTTTTACATCTCACTCCTAGAGTGAGACCCAGGTTCCAACTGTGCAAGATCAAGCCTCCTCTGAGCCTCTGTGCCCTCCTCTGTGTGATGGGGATGGTGACCTTGGCCTTGCCAGGTGGATGGGGGTAGTAGAGAAGGTGGATGTGAAGGGCCTGGCACATCACAGATACACTGAAAACACGGAGCATGCCCGCCCTGTTGTTTGCCCTGCTGTTGCTCTGTTGTTTGTGTGAATACCACTAGCGTCCAGTGCAGCGTGCTCGCTCATACATGTGTGTTCCGTGTCCTCCTCCCCTGCACGGGGAGAACAGTAACTGCCGTGTGAATGGGCTCTGAGAACAGCGAAGCCCCGTCAAGTGGACGTCGTAATAATTCTGAGAGTTAGCACTCTTGATTCCCACCAGCCCCTAGACCTGAGTCATCCTGACACACTCTGCCCACCCAGTGAACAAATGGCTTCATTCACTGAACAAAAGTTTAAGATCTACTCTGCGCCAGGCAGCATGCTAGCGGTCGGGGACTCGGCAGGTAGACGTTAAATACATAATTGCACCACCTTTCTTTCCTGGCCTTCTTAAAGGTCAGCCTCCCCACTCGGGGCACAGATGGCCCTGCCTGAGGCCAGGGAGGACACCTCTGGCTCCAAGGTGCTCCCCGGGGCAGTCAGCAGGCTCACAAACATTCCCTCCCCACCTCCCCACCTGGCCATTCGGGGAACAGTAACATCTGCCCTCTTTCCAATCCAGCTGCTAGTTTTAAATTAACATACTGTCAGCTCCCCGAGAGCCAGAGCTTGCCCTTCTCCCTGCAGTGTCCCCAGGATTTAGAACACGGCCTGACACAGTCATTCAGCCACTATTTACTCGTTCATTCACTCACCCAACAGATATTTATCGAGTCCTGCTAAGTGCCGGGCTCTGGGGAATGGGCCCTGCCGAGCTCAGCTCTGAGTCTAGTGGCGGGACTGGGGCGGGAGGAGATTGCAGGAGGAGGTAAGAGTGCCTTGGAGCAGTGGAGACCGCGGGGTTAGGTGCTGTGTTCCCAGGGTGGTCCCAGAACACTACCGTCCCGGGAAGGGGCTTGAGTCGGCTGATCGATTGGAATCCTTGCTTCCCCCAAACCGTGTCTATCATCCAGAGCACCTCCTCGGTCCCCAGCTCTGGAAAGGACCAGGATGTCCCCTTTCTTGAGTCACAGCAGGACTGTGGTTACCGGATGAAGGGAAACAGTGGGGGAGGCGGCACCAGGTTGGACGCAGGTGGCTGCGGTTGCTGGGGCTTTGGGGTCCAGCCAGGAGAGGCCCTGACTGCAGGGTTGGGGGGGTGGGGGCGGGGAGGCAGAGCGGGGACTGTGGGTTCTCATCTGGTCCATACTCGCCCCTGTGGGAAGCAGAGCAGATGACCTCCCCTCTCTGCAACCTGTGCTCTCCTCGGTAAAATGGGAGAACATCAACCTCACTAGCCCTAACTTTGTGAAGGCAAACCCAGCAAACCTGCGGATCATTGTTCAGTCAACACATGTTCACTGGGCGCCCACCTTTGGTCAGGACCCATGCAAAGCTCCGGAGACAGAGTCATGGATCGTGCCCTTGCCTTTTCAGGAGTGCCTGGTGTCTCCTAGGAGAAAGCAGGGGAAGGTAACTACAATTTGAGGGGCTATAAGTTAATAGACATCCTCACAGATATTCTTAGTCAACACAGACGACAATGATTACAACAAGCGCTTATATGGCACTTAATGTATGAGATCGGGGCTGTTAGCAGCCCCATTTTACACACAAGGAAACTGAGGCTTGGGGAGATGTCATGGATTTTCCCAAAGCCAGAATTCAAATCCAGACATGACTGACAGTAAGCCCCACCCATTGACATGGGTCAGAAATCACATTTAAGTCAGGAAGCAGTGTGGTCAGCTGTACCATAAAAGCATGGCCCGAGCCAGTGGCCAAGAAGGGCAACTGGTATCAGGGGAGTAGGTGAGGTGGGGCCAGGGGTTGGGTCTGATGCCAGGTAGGGTCCCATCCTGCCCAGTCCCTTGCTGGAACCCCAGGGATCTGTTGTGGCCTCAGGAAAAGCAAGGAAATGTCCTCCTTGGAGTCTGGGGTTCAGTGCCCTTTCAGGGCACCCCAATGAACTGCCCCAGAAGTTCTCCCCCCTCACCCCTGAACACCCTCTCTCCTCCTCCAGGAAGCTGTGCATCTCTGGCATGCGACCTGCTCTGCTCGTTGACTGAAGGTCCCTACATCTCAGCTCAGCCAAGAAGCAAAGGTAAGGGTACTGCCCAGGGTCATTCCCATGGGTGGTGTTCAGGGCCCCCACTCCCGGGGCCCTGGTGAAGGGGGTCACGATGACATTTCCCCTCCGTGATCCCCAAGAACACTCCTAAGTGGAAAGGAGATGGATCAACTGGGTAATGTGGTGGAATGGTGCTAGCCATTTACAACAGAGAAGCACTTTCTTGTGCATTAAACCTTAGGGGGTATTATCCCCAGTTTACAGATAAGGAAGCTGAAGCACAGAGATGGGAAAGCACTTATAGCTGGCAGGTGGCTACGCCTGAATTCCAACCTACATTTTCTTGTCTGTATCCCCATGTGGCCTGTGCATATTGTCTGTGCTTGGTACGTACTTGATGAATGAATGAGTGAATTAATGAACTGTTCAAGATCAATGGCAGGGCAGAGCAGGGCTGGAACCTGGCTCTCCCCCCAGTTGCTATATTCTTTCTGCTAACTGTGGCTTCCTGCACTGATGAGCTCAACAGTACCCCCTCCCTGTACCTCGACCCCAGGATCTCAAGCATCTCATGTGCAGTATCCATTACCCCTCCTGCTGCAGACAGAAGGATGAAGGTGGAAGGGTCGGCCTCAGCCCCTCTGTCAGGTGGCCCCCAAGCTTGGATCACACCCAGCATCCCTTCATCCACATCGCCTCTTCCCCACCACCCACTACCAGTAATCCAATGTGCATAGTTGTAAACTTGTTTCTTTAAATAAACAGTCTTGAGTTTCATACCAAATAGTCTTTTAAGAGGAGGAACGTCTCCAGGCCACCTCGTATTTAGCATACAGTGAGCCACATATTTGCACAGAGAGAGTGTGTGTGGATATAGAGATCGCTTGATCGCTATAGATATCATTGCTCATCCAGATGGGAGCTATTTATGATGCTGAGTCACCCGCAATGAATGCCACTGAGGGATTCCAGGCTGGGCTCTGAGCCCCAGCATCACAGACCTCATGGCTCTCTGCCTCATCCTCACTGTTCACAAATGAGAGAGACAGAGGCAGAGTGGTCCCCCATCTCGGTGCAGGCACAGAAGGAGACATTTTGGCTACGGGAAATAGAGACTTTCTCATAATCAGGTTCTATTTCAGATCCTTGTCCTCCATCCAGAACACCACACCCTTACAGAGCATCTAGTCCAATTCTTTCCTTGTACAGGAGAGGAAAGTGGGACCTAGAGAGGGAAGGACCTTGCCCAGTGTCCCACAGCTAGTCAGTAACAGACTGGTCCTAGAGCTCAGATCTTCAGATTGCTGCAAGGGGCTCTTTCCTCTTTCCTGGCCACCATCTTCTGTTTTATGTCCAATGTCTTGGCATTTCAGCCCCTCCAGAGCTGTCTGTCTGTCCTCTGAACACTTGGAGATGTCACTGAGCACTTCTTTCTCTGGGCTTCTCCAGGAGGGGAGCTAAGTTTGGTTTTGGGGTATATCCCCCCTACTTACTGCAGGAAATGCATACACTGGGCACTCAATGCATGTGCCTTGGGTGTTATATAAGACCAAACTCAGCACCAATTCCTGGGGAACCCTAGTTCTTCATTTGAAAAAGCACCTATTTATCCTCACCCTCTCTTTCTTTTCTCTAAGCCAGTTCTCTATCCATGCAAAAATAGACTCCCTCCCACTCACCACCCACCTCTGCCCAATTCTATAATGAATCAATTTTATTAATAGGCTTTGGGATGGCAATTTGACGAAGGCTTTTTGTGAAAGTCACCCTTTATCTCCCTATATAGTTCGCTTCTCAAAGAAGTCTAATAAACTGGTCAGGTGAGATTTTGCTTTACATAAAATATTCATTAATCCACTCTTTCCCTCCATATGGAATGTGTTTGTTTAAACATCCTTTATTATGGAGTCTATCCAATTGTTCTGAGACACAGTGGGATGAGATGGAAAGAACATGGGCTTTGGAATTAGGGCTGGGTTAAATTTTAACTGGCCATGTACTGGATCTGTATCCACACTGCTGGTGTGAGAATTAAATGAGATAATGTCTGTAAAGTGTCTAGCACATAGTAAGTGCTCAATGCAAGTTTGTGAATAAATGAATGACTCGGGACCCATATGAACCACATCCTAAAGGGTAAGGGACCAACTGACTCTGCAATCTGAAGTCTTGAAGTCATACAATCTCAGGAGGGTAGTTTGCGAAGTCTGGGGGAGCAGAACCCAGGAATTATGCTGCTGGCTGGGATGTCTCCAGGCCAGAAAAGAGCCACCTCTTTCTCTTGGAGAAGAGAAAACTCCTTGAGAGTAAACATTGTGTCTTATTAACTGTTGGATTCTACCTCTCCCAAAACTAGAGCCTAGCTCAGGGTAGGCAAAAAGATACACAGTAAGTATGGATTGAGTTGAAATGAGTTGAGTTGAGTTAAGCTGAGTAGAGCTGAACTGAGTTGCCCTGGCTTGAATTGACTTGTTTTGAGTTTGCTAATAGACCCAATTCTAGGACCTACCAAGGGAGAAGCTTCTTAGAACTCAAGCTCAGCTTAGACCAGGTCCCATAGCATGGGGGAAACACCGAGGGTGATGCTCTGGGGACATTCAGCACCTTCCAAAGATGGAGGTACCTTGGAGAGAACCAGGGCCGTAGCCAGGGCTGAGGAAAAAGGGTAGAAATCTTGGCTTGGTCAGGGGGCACCACAGGCTGAATGTCTTTAAAACTTATTGGAACAGTGACAGGATCTTCCCATAATTTTAGAGTGACAGATTTCTTCTCTTCATGGCAGAGAGGGCCCTTTAAGGGTCCTACCACCTTCATGATTTCTGCCATATCAGTGCAATTCATTTACCACTTCAGTGGGAGATCTCTAGGTTGGGGCAGGGGGCAGCCAGGAGGGGAGAAGGCAGGCTGAGGCCAGGAGCCAGTCAAAGCTCCATACTGCAGATGCTGGCACGATTGTAAATTGGTCTTCCTGTTGGAGTGAGGCTTTGGGGGTCTGAGTAAGGTATGATTCTAAGTCCAGACTTAAATCAGGCATTGGTTGCTAAAGGGAACAGTGACCCAGGAACCATAGTGGGGAATCAGACAAGACCTCTGGCACCACTGGGGTCCCTTCACTGGCTCCATCTCAGGCACTTCTCCAAACTGAATGCAACCAGCCACCTAAAGGAGGCAGGAACTGAGACAACAATGAGACTCAGGTGAACAGGGGCTGCTCCAACCCTTTCTGCATTTGGCTGTGTCTATCTGTCTCCTACATGGGCTTGGGAACCCATCAAAGACACTACATCTATTCCTCTTGTGTCATCTAAAAATCTGGGTACGGGTTAGACATCCATGTTTGATGACTGAATAATTAGGTCAGAGGAAGGCTTACAATGCCAGTGGAAAATTTCAAGATTTCAAAGTGGCAAAGGTCCAAGGTAGAGATGCCCAGCCAGGAAAGATAACATAGACCCAGAAGTTGCTCCTCAGGAGTTTGGCTCATGGGGAAAATGGGACTAAATGAAGTCAAGAGATAGGGTGGTGCCGCATGGGTTCAAAATAACATCGCTCAGAGTCCCGGGCTTCTGAGACAGGTTCCCAGGGGCCATTGTAGGATGGGTTAGGGCAAGAGAAGTTTCAAAAAAAGAATCTCTGCACCCAACAATCCCATTTAAATAATTTTTAAAAGCTCCAACTTTATCTGCTTTATATGTTGGATTTCCAAACACATTTTCATTTTTAACAGATTCTTTGGATTTAAAAAAAAAAATCCATTTGGAAAGCACTAGTGTTGAAAGAGCCTTGGCATTTGGAGTTAGACTGTCTGGATTCAAATCTCAGCCCCAAGCCTTTCTGCCTGTGGGACTTCAGGAAGGGAATCCTTTGAGCCTCCACCTTCTTACCTATAAACCACCCTTCCAGAAACATGTGAGAATTAACTAAGGAGTTGCAGTATTTCCCAAGGGCTGGTACATGGGTGATTGATGGTGTGTGATGATTTTAGGTGGTAGATGGATGAACATTTATTACTTTAATAGCTCACAAATGATGCATGTTAGAAAAATAAAACTGGCACACCAAACTCTCTGATTTATGGGGAAAATATAGCATTTCCTTTTAAAATGAAATTCTGAGCTTTTTAAAAGACAAATCAATTTAAAGAAAACTACAAGGTAAATGAATTGCACTGATATGGCAGAAATCATGAAGGTGGTAGATGAATGACTAAAATGTGGGGAAAACTGAGATAATCTGAGTAAAATACCTATCAGTGTCTGTCACTTAGGAAGGGCTCTAAAGACTTCATTCTTGTATTCTTCTCTCAATTCCCTGAGATGGCTGGACCTAGAACCAAGCTCATCCACTGGGGCAAGGTAGACACCCAGGCCTGGTCAGCCTGGAATACAGTGAGGTCGGTACGAGTGGGGAGCCGTGGTCAAGGGCAGGTGGGCAGCTGGGCTCAAGTAGGGAAAGGCACCTAGCCACAGGATCTTGAAACAGGTAGAGGCTACAGAAGCAATGCTTTCCACAGAGTGGGCACCAACCATCACTGGTCCATGAGGCCATTTTAAGAATTATCCAGCACAAGTTAAGTAGCACTGGGAGAGAGTTACCTCCTTTTCGGTTGATTACATCAAGGAGGAATTCGCAATTGGAGGTCAGCATCTACTTAACGCCTCTGTAACACTTACTGATCTTCCTTTTGGACCAAGAGGCCCAGCTTTCCAGCAACAGTATCTAGCTGGAATTAAATAGCAGTGTTGTATTTTCCACATCCTTATTTTTACCATTACCTGCCATTTATAGAATATGATGCAGGTTTCGTGTTTATGAGAATGATCTCATGTTCCCTTTAGAAATATATGTATTAAAGGTTAAAAAATGAGCGGGTTATTTTTGCTTGGTGTAAAGTACTGGGTAATAGTACGGGAGGATATATGCATGGAAACAAGATAAAGGTGGTCTTGACTGAGAGAAAAGCCAGTCTGGCAGAAGCACCACAAGGACTCGCACAGCTCCAGAGCCCGTGCTGGGCCCACAGGCAAGATGGC